CAGGTGCCTGTAGTCCCAGCTACTCGGGAGGCTGAGGCAGGAGAATGGCGTGAACCCGAGAGGAGGAGCTTGCAGTGAGCTGAGATCCGGCCACTGCACTCCAGCCTGGGTGACAGAGCAAGACTCCGTCTCAAAAAAACAAAAAAACAAAAAAAAAAAGAATTCCATCTGTAGTAAGACAGGAAATGGTGATTCATTATGAATAAGAATTTGCTGGTTACTAGCGAATATTCCAGCTTTCTTTTGAATATGCTAATAGTTAAAACTTCTACCTTTTTTCCTTCATTGCTAATTTAGTTTATTAGTAGAGGATGTCTAGCCTTTTTGTTTATAATAAATACCTTCCATTTCTTTTTTTTTTTTTTTGAGATGGAGTCTCACTCTGTTGCCCAGGCTGGAGTGCAGTGGCACAGTCTCAGCTCACTGCAACCTCCGCCTCCCAGGTTCAAGCGATTCTACTGCCTCAGCCTCCCAAGTAGCTGGGATTACAGGTGCACGCTGCCACACTGGGCTAATTTTTTGTATTTTAGTAGAGACGGAGTTTCACCGTGTTAGCCCAGGCTGGTCTCAAACTCCTGAGCTCAGGCAGTCTGCCCTCCTTAGCCTCCCAAAGTGCTGGGATTACAGGTGTGAGCCACTGTGCCTGGCCCCCCATTTCATTTTTAAAATCAATAAACATAGAAATAATATGAAGCCGTGTTAAACTGCTAATAAACTGCTAATCTAGATGATAAACATAAGCGATCACATTTCGTGAGTATAGCCTTTTAATTGAGTTCAAATTATCTTGATTTGGGGGAAAGGTATCTAAAATGAACTGATCGCTAATGAGTTTTGTTCTGTAGAGGAACATTGTACTGAGGCTCTATTATGTTTTCAGCTGCAGTGGATAACTGACATTTCAACTGTTAAATGAGGAACTACTTATTGCAGGTTTAATTTGTGAAGTTTGTTAATTGATTCCCTCATAAATAGCTTGCTATTTGTTCGCTAAACCATATGCTAAGAGCAGTGTGCTTATCTTTTTGGTAAGAGTTACTGCCTGAACATTTCATCTTGTGGAAAATGAATCTGTTGAAATATGGGGTCTACTCTTGAACTGTTTTTTATTGCACTATCTGAGGGATAACTGAGAATTGTCATTTTATTTTATTTTATTTTATTGAGACAGAGTTTTGCTCGTTGCCTAGGCTGGAGTGCAGTGGCACGATCTCGGCTCACCGCAACCTCTGCCTCCTGGGTTCAAACGATTCTCCTGCCTCAGCCTCCTGAGTAGCTGGGGTTACAGGCATGTGCCACCACACCTAGCTAATTTTGTATTTTTAGTAGAGATGGGTTTTCTCCATGTTGATCAGGCTGGTCTCAAACTCCCGAACTCAGGTGATCCGCCCACCTCGGCCTCCCAAAGTGCTGGGATTACAAGCATGAGCCACTGTGCCTGGCCACGGAATTGTCATTTTATTTTGTGGAGAGATTTTGTTTATTCATTTTTTGTGGTATGTTAACTAGTTTATCAGAATCTTGTTTACCAATAACCTGAGTATCTGATAATAAGGACCATATGGCTATTGCAGCTTTTTTTTTTTTTTTTGAGATGGAGTCTCGCTCTGTCGCCCAGGCTGGAGTACAGTGGCGCGATCTTGGCTCACTACAAGCCCCGCCTTGCGGGTTTACGCTATTTTCCTGCTTCAGCCTCCTGAGTAGCTGGGACCACAGGCGCCCGCCACCACGCCCTGCTAATTTTTTTGTATTTTTAGTAGAGACAGGGTTTCACCGTGTTAGCCAGGATGATCTTGATCTCCTGACCTCGTGATCCGCGTGCCTTGGCCTCCCAGAGTGCTGGGATTACAGGCGTGAGCCACCATGCCTGGCTATTGCAGCTTTTTATAAGTGACATAATAGCAGAGTAATCTTTACTAATTTTTCATATTAATTTAGGTCATTAGTATAATGACAAAGTATAATACTTTATTTCTTATGTGGTAAAACATTAATGAAAATGTTTTCTAGCTTAGTTTTAAAAATTGTATGCCATATAACTTAAATAAGCGATAGTATTTATCTCATTGTGTCTGCAAAAACCACATCGTTTAGTATTGAACTGATAAGGTTTTTTGCTCTCAGAAAGTTACCTTGTTCAGTGCTAGCCTTTAATGGTGTTTGAAGTTTAAAAGTGGCATTGTTGTTTGACTCAGCAAGGAAATATATAGGAATTATTGTAATGAAAATAGAATTTTGGGTGGTAGTAGATTATTTCTGACTTGAATTGGAGAATCTCAGAAGACTTCCTAGTGGAAGTGGAGCACATTTTAGCCGGACTTGGAGGATTTAATAGCCTTTTGATAGGCAGGATGTTTCTGTGCTCATCCTTCCATCTGCAAAGACATGACTGGAAGATTCAAAGGTATATGGCATATTTTGGTGATTTAGAGTTTGGAATGTAGGCCACCAAGGCTGGTGGGAAAAGAGTCTGGAAAGAAAATATAACAGACGTAAAGCTTTTGATGGCTTATTAAGGAGGTGAAGCTTTTTTGTCAACATTGAGGAACCTTAACGTTTAGAACTTGGTACTGGATGTGTGACTGAGACATGGGGGTGCTGAAGGATTGTAATGTGGCCTTCTAGCTTGGAGAATGAAGTGCTAAGTGGACAGCAGTGCTGCTGACACAGGTGTGGAGTATAGAAGATCAGGTTTTGGGGGTGGAACTGTGTTGTGTGGTGGGCAGAGATGATTCAAGTTTTGGACAATATTGCGAGTGACTTGCTGTTTTATTTTGTGATACTGAGTATTCTGGAAATCCAGGTTAGAGTTGGAGTTGAGCTTTGCTTGTGTGGGATCCTGTACTCTCTCCTCTGGTGCTTTCTTGTATTGTTCTTGTTGTTACTGGTTGTTATCTTCATCTGCCTGCTGAACTCTATACCTTGAATTGTGTTTCAGGAGTACTTAAGTCATGTGGTTGTGGAAAAAGAATGTCGATAGGATCTTCAGTTGTCTTGAAGTGTGTTGGGACAGACTACCAAAGAGTTTGTGACAAGTCAGGGGTGTATTGCTGTGGATTTGACCCAGAGAGAAGTTTTCTTGTTCCAAGAGAATATTTATTGCTTGATCTCTCAGCCTTTTTCCTTTTATCTTCTTATGAGTTATTTTTCTTTTATTGTGGTCACTTGGTGCAAGGTTAAGTTCTAAATGTGACACGTTGACTTCTTTGAGAAGTATTCTAGAATTCTCACAATTTTCTTGTGACATACCACACTGACTTTGTTCTAGCACATTTATTTCGTTCAGAAAATTTATTAGGTGAGACTTTGGGGCATTATTCCTATAAAAAAATTTCTTACAGATTAATGCCACACAGGAAAAAATGTTTTTGGGAAAGACTAGTCCTCCATATAATTCTGGCATTTTTGTAACTTTCCAGCTTTGGCGGTATTACTTACCAGAAGTAAATTATTCTTCATGTGCTTCCCTAAGGGAGGAGTTTGGCTAACAAAACTCATGTCAGGATGGTACAAGCACATTCACAAATATTTGCTCTAGTTTTCTCATTTCAGTAGTATTAGCATTTAAATATTGTCAAGATTTAAGAATTTTTTTATTGTGAGTGTTATGAGCCCAAATATGATATAGATTCCACATATTTGTGTGTGTGTGTGTGTCTGTGTGTGTGTGTGTTTTAAACAAGGGTTACTGACTTCAGATTAATTTGTTATCAAGTTTTTTTCTGATTATTGCTGGCATAGTTGTATATGTAATACTTGCAGGGAAAAAAAGCATTTCAAAATCAATTTGGAAAGGAAGTTTGTGAGATTGAAGACATTTTTAGTATGCCTGTTATGCTGTGCATGAAGTTTGGATTTAGGTTCTCGCAGTAGTTGCTGAGTGACCTGTGGGATAGGCTGTGGCAACATGTTATGTGTTCTAGTGGACTACCTAGGGGAGCGTTATATTAGGTGACACGTGATCTCTTACAGGGAAGTTACGGAGTTCCCTGTAAAACTTTAACTTTTTTTTTTTTTTTTTTGAGACAGAGTTTTGCTCTGGTTGTCCAGACTAGAGTACAGTGGCGCGATCTTGGCTCACTGCAACCTCTGCCTCCTGGGTTCAAACGATTCTCCTGCATCAGCTTCCCGAATAGCTGGGATTACAGGCGCCCACCACCACGCCCGGCTAATTTTTTGTATTTTTTTTTTTTTAGCAGAGACGGGGTTTCACCATGTTGGCCAGACTGGTCTTGAACTCCTGACCTCAGGTGATCCACCCGCCTCTGCCTCCCAAAGTGCTGGGATTACAGGCATGAACCACCATGCCTAGCAGAACTTTAACATTTCTTTAAAAATATGTACAATAGAATGGGGTATCAATTGAGGGTAGAGGAAGACATGAAGAAAAGGCTTATGTAGAGACCTAGAGTAAATATTGTTGCCTTTTATTCAATTAACCTTATCTTTCTTTTAGTCCAAGTGGTAAGAAGTTCAGAAGCAAGCCTCAGTTGGCAAGGTACCTGGGAAATACTGTTGATCTCAGCAGTTTTGACTTCAGAACTGGAAAGATGATGCCTAGTAAATTACAGAAGAACAAACAGAGACTGCGAAACGATCCTCTCAATCAAAATAAGGTTGGTTAATTTACTTATCGCATGTATATGCGACTTCGAAAGCTGTCCAAAAAGTATCTCACATCATAGTCACTGGAATTTTGGTTGTCAAAATGTCCCATGCATGTCCCCGTACCCTGCCCACCCTGTCCCAGCAAGAGAGAGCATAAGTAAATTGTGCACAGTAGAAAATAGCATTTCAGTATCTCTCTAGGTCAGTGAACGTCACGCTTTCTGACCCACTGGGGCTGTTTACAAAAGGTTTCTTTAGTGTTAATTGTCTGCTTTTTTTCTTTTTCCCTCAAAATCGTTCCTGTTGTCCAAAAAGTGGCAACATTTTAATGTGGCAGGTATCTTTATCTCATAGTTTATAATTACGTATTGATTTTCAGGTTCAGGTTTTGAGAAGGGGCAGTGTTTTGTTTTTGATTTTTTTTTTTGACCTTTGATGATGTTGAAGATAATGAGTTTTTGGAATAATATTCTAATACTATGTTTGGATATTTTTCCGTTAGCCCTTAGCTTTATCGAGCTGTTTGGTTGATAGTTTATTGTATAGCAATTGAAGCAAATCTCATTTGAATTACGATACAGTTTGAACATTCCAAATCTGAAAATATCTGAAATCTGAAACTCTTCTGGTCACAGGCATTTCAGATGAGGTATACTTAAGCCTGTACTAATTTAATTGTGTTAAAGAATCCACTATCTTTACAAAGAAAGCTGCTTTTCCCCTGAGGACAACTAAACCTATGTGACTATTTTTTCTTAGTTTTTCTTCCTCTAAACTTCAGGGATCTGTGTGTATGTGTATTGCTACCACCATTGTCTTCACAGTGACAGTGAAAATAGTGGAGGGAGAAGTAGGGGCTCTCTTTCTTAAGATGTGACTGATGTGTGGGACTAATGGGACTCATGTAATCCCGTAAGTCCCAGTGGGCTCATTTTAGGAACCCACTGGCAGCGTAGTGGAGTAAGAAGGGCTTTGGACCCAGGAAGACATGACTTGGTGAACTGGCTCTGCTACTTACTAGCTGATGCAGTCATGAGAAACTTTCTTAGACTCCAAGGGCCTTCGGTTTCTCATTTGTAAAATTAAAGAAAGAAAATTTTCCCTTCGCATTGTTGTGAGGAGTAAATGGGAATTTTTTAGAACATCTAGCAAAGTAAATTTGACCCACGTTAATTCCTTTGCTTTCCACACTGCTCTTTCCGTAAGCCACCCCCTTTCCTGAGCACCAAGCCACCTCAGTGAACAGTGTTGCCTCGTGGCCAGCGTTGGAAACTTTCTGACCCAAGCTCTCTTCCCTCTTGTCATTTTACATTTTCTGAGGGGCATGGGGTCTCTGCTTCATACCTGTCTTCATTCGGAATTCAGCTTAAATTTGTGCAGTTTACAGTAATATAATTTCTAATAATTGATACGGAGGTCAAAATGCATTGTTTCTTCATAGCATAATACCTTGCATTGGTTTTCATAGGGACATTGGCAGGTCCTTTGTTTAGAGAGGCAGAGTGGAAGAGAAGGCTAAATTGCCTCTGTATTCCTTAACTATGGGGTGGATTTGAGTTGGTCATTATGAAGATGTTAAGAAAGGTAAGAATAGCAGTAGACGGGGAGCCCAAGTTAGCAAAAGTTAGGATCTTGTGTGTGTATAAATCATTGTGATTTCAGCTTCAGGAAACCTTTATTCTGGGGTTACTTTGCTTCTTAAATGTACAGAGGAAAATTCAGGTTTATGTTTCTAAAATTGACATCTTAAAACACAGTGCTGGGTACTTATAAAAGGGGCTTCAGTATTTATGAAATGAAGAATACTTTCAGATTACTGTTCTGTACCAGAACCACAGTTTAGTTACGTTAAGTGTAATGTGCAGATTTATTTTTCTGACACTTACGTTTCATCAAAAACCAAACACTAATTCATCTCTTCAGTTTGTGTGCACCTTTCTGCTCTAGCTGCGCTGGAACGCTCATCGTCCTGCACCATGGCATGCGCTTTCAAGACTCTGCTTGCTCATGCGCTGTTTGCTCTGCTTGGAATGTGCTTACCCCTTTCCCCTTCATCTGGTGAACTCCTACTCGTCCAAGACCCAGCTCCGTTGTCTCCATCTCTGGGAAGCCTTCCCTGCATACTCCAGGCAGAACCAATCCTTTCCTCCATAATGCTTCCCTGGTGCTTTGCCATTGTGTTTGTGACTTGTTTGTCTGCTTTAGCTAGACTGTGAGCTCCATGAGGGCAAGGACCATGCCTGTTTTTGTTTTTGTCTATGTAGCCAAAGCCTAGCACACAGTAGGTACTTAATAAATACTGCTTTATGTTTATTTGATTTACCATCCACCTCATTTCAGAAGTGTATAGTGGTAATTAATGTTTATTAAATAAATAAATATACTATACATTATTTTGGAAATGCCTTTCATTTTCATTGTTTTCTGAAGCTTTCTCCATGAATTTTTGGAGGCATGGTCTTTTTGCATGTGATTTTATTTAGATGGTCAGAAAGTGGAGCTTTGCATTTTAAAAAATAAGTTCTCTTTGAAAGTAACACCAACAACATATTAGGTAGCTCTATGAAGCAGAAAATGTATTTGTGGCTAGTTAAGTAATAACTGTATTATGTCTTTTTTATGATAGTACAGTGTAAAGAAAGCTAAGAGCTTTAAAGTAATTAATAGAAATCTGAGGTAAGAGTGGTTGTAAATCTGGCTTCAGTACATTGTTGTGTTTGTTTTGTTTTGTTTTGAGACAGAGTCTCGCTCTGTTGCCCAGGCTGGAGTGCAATGGGATGATTTTGGCTCACTGCAACCTCTGCCTCCCAAGTTCAAGCGATTCTCTCTTCCTCAGCCTCCCGAGTAGCTGGGATTACAGGCACCAACCACCACGCCCGGCTAATTTTTGTATTTTTAGTAGAGATGGGGTTTTGTAATGTTGGCCAGGCTGGTCTCGAACTCCTGACCTCAGGTGATCTACCCATCTCGGCCTCCCAAAATGCTGGGATTACAGGTGTGAGACACCATGCCCAGCATGTTCTGTTTTTTAAACTCTTATCTTGAAAGAATTAGAGCTTTAATTGACAAAATAAACTTTGAAACAGGCTAAATTATAACTTAAGTAATTATAAGCTATGATTTTAACATATTTTCCACATCAGAGGTGAATTACTGGTGATGAATAATATCCTTTAGGTATGATTGGAAAGATGTCTTTTTTTTTTTTTTTTTTTTTTTTTTTTTTGAGACAGAGTCTCGCTCTGTCGCCCAGGCTGGAGTGCAGTGGCACCCTCTCGTTCACTGCAAGCTCTGCCTCCCAGGTTCACCCCATTCTCCTGCCTCAGCCTTCCGAGTAGCTGGGAATACAGGTACCCGCCACCACGCCTGGCTAATTTTTTGTATTTTTAGTAGAGACAGGGTTTCATCGTGTTAGCCAGGATGGTCTCCATTCCTGACCTCGTGATCCACCTGCCTTGGCCTGCCAAAGTGCTGGGATTACAAGTGTGAGCCACCGCGCCCGGCCAGAAAGATATCTTTTTAAGAACTCTGCAGAGTGGTTTTAAATTCTTTTAGGATGGGAGAGTAGGGTGAAGGGGGTATTGTTTTTAGTCTCTACTACTATTTTTGCAGTACCTATTTCAGATATCTCAAACTCAATCTTAACCTTACCCTGAAAATCCATTCCATTCTTGATTACATTATATCTTATTGATTTTCTTGACTGCCATAATTATTTCCAACCACCACCTCCATCTCTTCAACTGACATTGTTGAAATATCAAGAAGGTTACTGAAGATATTCCATTAGGTTAATGGAAAAAGACTAGAGAAAGATTTGGAAGTCATCGCACAGTTTATATTTGAAGTCATGAGCAGGTTTCTCAGACCTTAAAGGGAAAAGTTACAGAGCAGCATATCCAGGGGAACATTCTGTGATGACGGGACTCTTTTCAGCCACAGGTGACTGTTGAGTGCTTGACATGTGGCTAGTCTGACTGAATAACTCAATTTTTAGTTTTACTTTAAAATTAAATAGCCAGATGTACCTAGTCAGTGTCAAACAGCACGGCTCCAGAGCTTTGCCTCTCAATATGCAAACAAAAACCAAACCTTTGCTTCAAAAGCTAAATATTGTTTAGGCATTTATGTTTGGTTTTTCAAAGAGGAGATGTTGCGGGGTTTCATAGATGTGACTGTCAACATTTTTAGCAGGGAACTGGGAGGAGAGGCAAGATATTAAAATTTAATTGGAGACACTCTAGGATAAAGAAGAATACAGTGATTCTAAGTGCAAGAATACAGTGATTCTAAGTGCAAGATATGTTTAGAGAACTTCAAGTAGCTTGGTTTGTCACTAGAAGTTTATTTTAGTGTTTTAGATGTATAAACATACTGAATTTGTGTTTCTAGGTCTTAACATCAAATGTTTTATAAATTAAATCTACAAAACTAATAAAATTCAAGTTCCCTAACATTAATTTAATGTGACATATGACATATTTTATAAATTGCTTGCAATATGAATATGGTATGGAACAAATTATTTTTTAGTTTTGCTTGACAATACTACAGGTATCTTGGAAAGGCTCAGTTCTTTCATCACATTTCTCTATTCACCCAAATTGGATACTTTTGAAAATAAAGAACATCATATTCTCTTGAATGGAATCAGTTGTGTGTTAAGTCTGCCATTATTTATTTCTCATGAATGATCTTGGTTTAAGGTGGTAGTATGTTATTGTGAGTATAAACACATACTTGGATAGGTATATGGCTGTATGCTAGGTTTTCAGTCACATGATCTAGAAAGTACTTGTTTTAATTATCCTCAACAATAATAAAACATTTTGTGGAGAGCTCATCTATCTTGGTGGCAATTTCTGTGTAGTTTGAGAAACTTAGTGGTGATGATAAGAATCAGATTTGGGTATATAGAATGGGGCACAGTATGGAGACTGGATTTGGGAAGGGATGAAACTAGAAGTAGGGAGAATAGTTGGGCTGTTGAAGTCTAGAAAAATAAAGA